TACTATCTACACCGTAATATACAATTTTGAGTTGATATATTTTATTACTGGTTTAAATTTATTTGTTATTTTTGTAATAGTTTAGTCAGTATCTTTGTTTATTTCCATTTGATAATAGTCCATTAGATTTCGTGGTCCGATTGATCAAATAACATCTTTGAATTAATCTTTATGTAGGGTATTGGTTGAGATAAAAAAGTCAGTGTGATGAGCGGGATTCGAACCCACGACCTTCAGCTAAATACGACGCTGCTCTACCACTTGAGCTATCGTGACTTCGATCCACTCGGATTTGATAATGGTCATTTCTGCGGTAACTTCAGATGAAGTTAGGTTTATTTTCTTTTGATACTGAATTACAATCTACATTGACTTTTGTTGATTCCTGTGTTTTATCGTGATAGTCAATTTTTAGTGGATATTTTTGGGTAGCCTGATAAAAAATTCGGAGGTTATCTTAGTGTAGTAATAGACAAATCAGGATAATTTTTGTTGCATTTTTACTGTAATAATAGTCATTTCGGAGTTTGTTGCGATGTCTATGTTGTAATAGTCAATTAAGAGAATGTTATGTTGTTTCATGTGGTGTACCTTCGTCGTAATAGTTACATCTAAATTCTTTGAATCGATTCCTAGATTTAATTATGATTTTCACGTTGAACTGTCTTTATCTTTGCTTTCGGTTATGGTCGTGATGGAAATAATTTCCGTTTTTACTTTTCCTCTGCTTTTGATTTTGACACAGACCGTCCATCTAGGCCATGTTTCATTGTTAATATCGGATAAAAACATCACTCATTTGGACATTTTTGTTAAGGTTTGATAGGATTTTTTTTAAAAATTTGTCTTGGGACGAATAAATCGTGTACTTGTCCGTTTTGACATTTCGGAAGGGTAGTTTTTCCAATTGTTCCATTTCAACCGAGATACTTTAGCCCGTGTTTCGCCGGTTAGGGAAATCTCAGGGGGCAATGTAGATAACAGAAGGTTTGTTCATGCTGGTTTATTATACGTCTGCGCGAGGGCAAGGAAACTCCTTCAAAGCCATGGAGGAGCGAATGATGCCGGCAGTAAACATGTGCGAGTCAACTGCTACACTGCAACTGAAATTCAGCGTAAGTCTTGTAGTAAACAACGAATTTTTACAAACAATAATTTCCTTTTGTTTTAAACTTCTCAAAGAGTATAGTTTATCCGTTTTTCCTGGGCTCCTTGAAGTTTAAACAGCCGGAGAGATAAGCTTCTCAAAGAAGTTGAGGGTTTTGTTTGAAAGATTCGGCGATTTAAGAGATTTATCCCGTTGTGCTTTACCTGTAGAGCCTTTGGGTGAAAAATTGAGAAAAAACACTCCTTTGTAGTTTAATTACTCCGTAGCCTGGAAGTGTCTATTGATTTTTTTCAAAATTTAAACAAAAATTAATTTTGCAGGAGACCGCTATGAGAAATACTTATCGATTAACTTCCAGCCGGCTGTCACAATATCGATTATTCTCGCACCCTTCAGCTTAGCTCGTCCGCGCTCACCCGGCTACAACATATTACCTCTTCTTCAATCGCTTGACGAACTGTAAAATTATTCAAAACACCTACACGAGTTAGATACGGCCGTGTAGGATTAAATAATAATTACGGAACGTCGCCTTTCTTCGATTTGTATAAACATGTCTCCAATAACAATAACTTTTTGTCCAAGTTTGACTAGATTCGTTGACCATTTGTTACCAGACCTGCCAATTCATCCAATCCAGATGCTAAATGAATTTTCCCCCGTTTCATTTGCGACAAGCCCAAATGAAATGGTGAACCGATTGAAACACACGACCAAACTCGCAAAACAATCGACATAACACAGTATACAATAAACACTAGGGTTTACCATCAGAAAAGACAAAATTTACAGTTTGTTGTAACCCCCACAGCTGTGTTGTTGTTCATATTCAATGTTGTTCATATGTTGTTCATAGTCAATAACTGCTTTATAACTGAAGCGACAAAAATGACTAACTGGGGCATAAATAACTAAGTCTTAGCTGTTACCAAAAGAGATTCTTACCATTCCAACTTAGACAAAAGTTGTAGCAAAAAAGTAGCAGAAAAAAGTAAATTCGCAAGTGTCCAATTTCTAATCATAGCTCTCAGGAATGACCATTAACCACTAACAAAATCATTATAAACTATTTCTACGAAGAACCACCACCAAGAAAACAAACCTCAAAATAGACAACAATTACCTTCAACAAAGATACGAGTCAAGTAGAATCGTATAGCAGGCCAATGGCATAATACAACTCCAGAAAGGCTGTCATTGCAAAGACGATGTCAACAGCAAAATCATATTAGAACAAAATCAACATTTCAACCAAAAACCTCACATAAAAAGAGGTAATTTGGTCAGTAGACCACTAAATGAAATGGAACAAAATCAGAATTGACGTAGCTACAAAGACACTGCCACGAACAATACAATTTAACAGAAAATACATTATTCCGACATAGACACATACATAAACCCGAAAATAGAGTAGTACGACGAAGAAACCTCCGCCAACAAAACAACTAGGCACTTCTAAATAGACACGTTCACCAACAAAATAACTACCTCAAAATACAAAATAACAATAAGATGTATTGTCGTAAGATAAAATACGATTCCACCGACTATTACTACCAAGACCTACTCTAATAAAACAACTACTACGAAATACACTTTTACGACAAAAACACATTCTCCCAACAAAACAATTACCTAAAAATTTGACTGTTATGACATAAAAACCATCGCCTACAAAACAACTAGGTACATGTAAATAGACTATTACGACTGACACATTTTCACCAACAAAATAACTTCTTCAAAATATAAAATAACGAATGTATACTATTACTTCAAAGTCACTTTTATCAAAAATACAACATAGATGCGACTAATTAAGAATTTTAAGACATAATACGACACCGCCAAAAAATACTTACATCACCGAAATCAGAATTGATATTTAGTAGATAAACAAAAATGTCATCAATAAAACAGTTATCTCGAAATGGACTATTACGACAAAGAAACCCCACCAACAAAATGACCACCCACAAAATAGATTAATACTTCAAAGACACTTTTATCAAAAATACAACAAAGATGTGACTAAATAAGAATTATAAGACATAATACGACACCATCAAAAAATACTTCTGCAAAGAATCCGACATCACCGAAATCAGAATTGATATTTAGTAGAAAAAAAATCATCAGATACTAAACAATTATCACAAAATAGACTATTACGACAAAGAAACCCCACCAACAAAATAACCACCTACAAAATAGATTAATGCTTCAAAGTCACTTTAACCAAGAACACAAAAAAGATGAGAATAAATAAGAATTTTAAGACGTAATACAACTCCACCAAAGAATACTTTTGGAAAGACTCCGTCATCACCGAAATCAGAATTGATATTTAGTAGGAAAAAATTCATTATATACAAAACAATTATCTCAACATAGACTATTACGACAAAGAAACCATACCAACAAAATAACCACCCACAAAATAGAGTAATACTTCAAAGACACTTTCACCAAGAATGCAACAAAGATAAGACTAAAGAAGAATTGTAAGACGTAATACGAATCCACCAAAGAATACTACTGCAAAAACTCAGTTGTTGCTGAAATCAGATTTATTCATTAGTACAAAGAAACCATTATCATGTCATCTCAAAATAGATTATTACGACACATATACATGTGCATACTGAAACAAACCACCGAAAAAGAACAACAAATATTGAGGGTGCAGCAATAATGCAAATAAATAAAAATCATATAATATAACTCTACCATTAACTGTTACCAAAAAGACACTTTAACCAACAAAAGCAAAATTCATTACAGCCAGGTACATTGGTTACAAATGGTACAGTCTTCAAATTATCTACTACGGCTAAGATTAACTAAAAAGAAATTACCCCTATTAAAACACCTCAAAAACGAAAATGTGCTTGATCGTAAAAGTCAAAATTGACACAAAAGAAAAATCCGACAATTGTGAATTGAATTACTACCTAGAACATGGACCTAATCACTTAATAATTGTCTGACTAATAAGATTACAAAATACAAATAGATAACATTAACACTACAAAGCCACTTCTTTGATATGACTTTTACAACAAAGACACAGAAACTAATAATAGCATAACTTTACTAATTGACAACAAACATCAACCAATCTAACTATACACTCTTAAATTGATTATTCCCAGACAAAAACGATATGATTCCAGAATTGACTATTACGACAAATTCACAATTCATATTCGAAATTTTAAGTACTACAAAACCTAGTCTGAGAATTGTCTTTTATATAAAGACAGTTTTACCAATATTAACAGCATAGACTTGAATGTACAAAAACGAACATTTTACTCTCACCTTGAACCACATTGACCAGTTTTCTATAAAACACAGTCTTTCAGTACCTCTATTTCTAAATGAAATTTGCGGATCGAATCTGACTGTTATTTGAAGGGTGCGATTCGAGTGTTTCGTGTCAAATGGAAATAACAGGCGTCGTGTTTATATTAATGGATTAAATAGTCGATTTATTGAAATGATTTGAATGATCGCTAAATTTACTGGAAACGCGCGTGGTTGCAAAACGTGGTAGGCATGTGTAGACATAGCGAAAAGGTTTCGGTAAAAATTAAATAGCCTTTTATTCAATTCAAACGTACATCATCGTCAGATCGATGTTTATCACACAAATGGCATGCTGAATCGTTTAACTTTACCCATTTCCTTCGTAATTTACAATTCAGCATTAGTTAAAGCTCGCTTGCATGAACGCGCCTGGGCAGTTGGTGTTGGTTTAAATGAGGATGACCTGTCGGAGCAATTCCGTCGGCGTTTTGTCGAATGGTGGGAAATTTGATGATTTGTCGACTGTTCTTAATTTTCTTTTTAATTAATTCTTTTTTTGTACAAATTTGTTTTACAGAATGTCCTGCGCGAGTTGGAACAGAAGAAGCCCCAGCTTGACGAATTGGTGCACACGGCGGAAAACCTGAAAGCGGATTTCAACAGGCAGCAAGTCCACGGGAAAGGTCAGTCGAGAAAAACCCAAATATTCACTAGGGCTGTTCTATTTAAAAAAATTCACGCGGAAACCCGTTACTTGAAAAGATAACCGTTCGTATCGATGACAAGCGTTATCAGAAGGATACGATAACGGCCTGTCCCATCCCTTATTGATTCCTCACTTCTCTCCCTGCCAGATTTCGTACCGTCTTGTCGAAAAAATCCACCGGAACATCGTCTTTCCTTCCGAGTATATTCATAGTTCGTTTGCCGTCTCTGCCGTCCGGACGGCATCACGTTGATATCCATTTAAAATCGATTATCCTCGTATAAAATCTGGTCACGTAGAAGAGGTCCAGGCTCTATTTTATAAAAGTATAAGGGCCTCTTCTTTTAGATTTATCGCGGTTCCCGTGGAAGCTAATGTAGAAAAGAAAAAGGAGAAAGTGTCGCGACTTTTCCAAAAATCCTTTAGACTTGCAACATTGCTATGTTTTTAATGTCATAGTTAATTTTCTTATAAGGTTGTTTTTGTTGGAAGGTGATGGTTTTTTGGTAAATATAAATTCAGGACTACTTAAGGAGTTTAGGCTTGTCAATAAAAAAATTAAGTCTCAGTTTGTGGTGGAAACTTTATCGAAATAGTCAAATCTGGTGTAATTATATTTTTGTTGGTCATTTATGTATGTATTGTACAAATCAGTTTAAAAATAGTTACGTTTTTGTAGAAGTAGTCAATACTGAGGTCGAGTCTCAGTTTGTGGCGAAGTCTTTGTCGTAATAGTCAATTCTGTTCGAATACTATTCTTGTTGGTCGGTAGCATATGTTTATTGTAAAAGTGAATTCAAAAGTGGGTTAAGGATTTATAACTTGTTTAATAAAAGACAATCTTATCTTTTATCGTCATAGGTAATTTTCTTTTAAGGGTGTTTTTGTTGGAAGGTGTGAGTTTTTTTGGTAAATTTAAATTCAGAACTACTTAAGGAGTTGTGCAGTCTCAGTTAATCGAGGATGTACGAGTTTGGTCTTTTTAAGAATAGTCAGTACTGCGGCTAAGTGTCAGTTTATGGAGGAGGTTGTTGTCATAATAGTTAATTTTCTTATAAGGATGTTTTTGTTGGTAAATGATTGGTTTTGTAGGTAAATTTATATTCAGGACTACTTAAGCAGTTGAGGTTGTCATTAAAGAGATTAAGTCTCAGTTTGTGGCGGAAACTTTATAGTAGTAGTCAATTGTGGTGTAATGATATTTTTGTTGGTCTTTTATGTATGTATTGTACAAATAAATTTAAAAATAGTAACGTTTTTGTAGAAGTAGTCAATACTGAGGTCAAGTCTCAGTTTGTGTGGAAGTCTTTGTCGCAATACTCAATTCTGATCGAACACTATTCTTGTTGGTCGGTAGCGTATGTTTATTGTAAAATGAATTCAAAAGTGGGTTAGGGAGGTATAGCATACCTGCAAGTATATAATAAAGATAAATGAAATAGTAACATCTTTGTTGTAGTCAATACTGAGGTTTTTAAATCTCAGTTTGTGGCGGAATCTTTTTGTAATAGTTAAACGATATCCTTGTTGGTAGATGGCGTGTCTTCATAGTATAAATAAATTCGGAGGTAGTTAAGTAGTTAATGTGTGTTCGTAAAGGTCAGTATTATAGAGAAAAGAAAAAGGAGAAAGTGTCGCGACTTTTCCAAAAAATCGTCTTTTGCACTTGCAACGTTGCTGTGTTTTTAATGTCATAGTTTATTTTCTATTAAGGGTGTTTTTGTTGGAAACTGGTGAGTTTTTTGTAAATTGTAAGTAAATTGGCTTGTCAATAAAGATCAATACTGAGATTAAGTATCAGTTTGTGGCGGAAACTTTATCGTATAAGTCAAATCTGGTGTATAATATCTCTGTTGGTCATTTATGTATTAAGTGTACAAATCAATTTAAAAATAGTAACATCTTTGTTATAGTCAATACTGAAGTTTTTCAGTCTCAGTTTGTGGCGGAATCTTTTTGTAATAGTTAAATGATATCCTTGCTGGTAGATGGAGTGTCTTTATAGTATAAATAAATTCGGAGGTTGTTAAGGAGTTAACGTGTGTTCGTAAAAGTCAATATTATAGAGAAAAGAAAAAGGAGAAAGTGTCGCGACTTTTCCAAAAAGTCGTCATTTACACTTGCAACGTGGCTCTGTTTTTAATGCAGTATTTATTCTCCTTCATGATATTAAACACGATCCAGCCTCGGGTCCAATTTGCAATGTTTGATGTTAATTTAAATTAAATTAATTAAATCTTTCTCATGTCAACTCCCCGGACCCGCAGAGGGTGGATTCAATTAATTCATACGCGTTAAAAATTAATTATCCTTTTTATTAGCTTTGGCTTATAATATAGGTGCTTTTTCTGTATATTATATATAAAATGTATCAAATAATTTAATACTAAAATTTTATCGCGTTATAAAAAAATATGAGAAAATCCACAAGGTGATATTGCAATATTGCCACACGTCCTGTCGTTTAAGGCCGTTTTTATCACCTTTGTAATAATTTTTGAACTAAGTCTCCGATAAAATCGTCAAAATTAAAAAAAATCACTTATATATTATACACGAAATAAATTTTAAATAATCAACAAATTAATGGCATAAATTAGTGAAGCCTTTTATGAAAGTATGACATATGAAATAAAACCGAAACATGGTTTTTTTAACCTACCATTTTAAATAATAAAATATCTATGTTAAAATTTTCAAATAAATTTATTTTGTTATACAGTTTTGTGTTTTAGACGCGCTTTTTCCGAACAAAGTTAAAAAATGACAGGACACTTTTTCATACATTTGTCTACTCCTGGTTTTTTAATATCGATCAAAACTTTCTTCTTAACCATTTTAATAGGATTTTCATTCAGAAATCATTGTGGGACGTAGACATAGATCTTTATATCTTCTAGGTCCCTAATGACCCCAAAGATGCGGACCTTTTTTTTTGGTTCATTTTATTTTTCTAAACAGCCCAAGTTAACAAAATATTGAATATTTTATATACTTAGTTTGTTAAAAACGACCATGCTTTTGTTGAATATGATGAAGATGTTGAAGAGGATGCTTTGGGGGTTTGGTATCCCAAAATATTCCAGCCTTTTGGATTATTATTCTTTTCCTACTTCCATAGTGCGGCTCAATTGACTCGACCCTTATTTTAAGAAATGGTAGGTCATTCCTGTAATTATTTTTACCTAGGTCCTCGTGCTATCCTGAACCATTGAGCTGTTGCTCACATACGAAAATAATATTGGTGGGTTCCTCTTCCTCACAACATAACCTACAGTAGATTAATATACCTAGGTGTTGGTGTTTGCTGGGCCTGCCAGTTTCGGCTGTTTAGGTATATTGTGTCTGGCACCCCTAGAATTCGTCCACTTCTCCTTGTGCTTTTGATGGATCCATTCTGAAATATATTTGTCTCAGTCTTTTTATCCCAATTATAGGTGAGCATACAGATGTCTTGCAGATCTTCATCGGGCCAGTTGATCTGCATGTTCATTAGCTAGAATTCCTTTGCGCAACTCAAGATTTTGTCAGGTGTTTATGTCTTACAAGGTCTTTAAAGCTTTGGATGCATTCATTGTTTATTTTTTACGCCTTTAATTAATTTTTAACAACTTTATTTTTTTTTCAAAACATTGTTATTCAAAGTAAGGTTAGAAAGTGTGTATCTGTTGACTTCCTTTTTTACTAAATAGTATATAGTGAGTGTTCTGTTCGTATTACGATAAAATAGATTTCTGTATATTAAAAAATTCTGTATTTATGTCATATGAATAAATTAAAATAAATTGTATTGACGTGAAAAAGCTGACAATCCACTCATTTTCCGTCCAAATCAGTCAGGTTTCAATTTCAATAAAAACTAATATTTGATACTAGTAGAATAGTAATTTATCTAATTTATTACCCTGATAGATAAACAGGTCGATTGAAATAAAAATATTTATTTTCATTAGATTCAGAATTAGAGGGACTGAAAATGAAAAGGTCGAATGATTTATAAATGATATGTTGTTATTTAATTAGTTATTTGAAACGAAATCAATAAAATGGTTAACTTTTTATAATTATTATTGCTCAACACGAGACAATTTTTTTCCGGGGAGTGCATAAATTTATTCTTTTCTCGAACGTTTTTCAGTGCTAAAATACATTTATTCTCTTTTGTCTTGGGATTTTTATTATTTAAAATATACGTAGGATTTGCTAATACTGGGTGGTTAATGTTCATAAATTTAATTTAAGTGAGTATAAGTAGACAAGACGATATAAATTTGACTTACTAGGTAAGCCTTGGAGGCATCAAGGTCCCAGGTGGTTAGCCGCCCTCTTCCCTTCGATTCGTCAGGGGCAAGAAACAACCCTCCCCATATACCCCATGTTCTAGTAAAATATTTTTATTCCAATTTTTTTTTTCGTTTTAAAGCGTCTCGTTATCTTTTCTTGATATTCGTGAGCTTAGACAATCGTAAAATTCAGCTTCGCAGGTGAATTTTTGTACGTTTATCACTTCAAAAGGAGCGACGTTCCTTTTCAGATATACTCATGAGGAAATTGGAAAATTAACCTAAACGGTTTGATTAAATATAAGTTGTCAGATTTCTTATTGGTACAAGCATTCGAGTCAGAATTAGTATTATTCCTTAAATTTAACTTTGTGAAAGACACTATATCGCAATAGTCCATTTTTGTTGTTGTTCCAGTGATTTTTGTTGTAATTGTACTAACATAAAGTTTTCTTTCAAAAACGGTTTCTTTCTACAGCAAATAAATTCAGTAGTTACGTCATTGTGTAATAGTCACTATTGAGGATGTTAAGTTTCAATTTGTCGCGGAACATTAAGCGAAATTTTTGTTGGCCATCATGTCATTGTAGTTAGAATTAATTCAGAAATTGTTTATTCTATTTAATAATAGCCAATACTGAGGTCAAGTCTCAGTTTGTGTAGAATCTTTGTCGTAATAGTCAATTCTGATCGA